GTATTAATAAACTCCATGAATTTAAGACCGAATTAGGCTACACCTACTTGGGTTGTTATTGTAGACGTGACGAAGTCATTGTCAGACGATGTCGTATTGGCCATAAACGTTTACACATGAATATATATTGAAGGGCGAAGATCCAGTGGCCTATAGTCTGGTTTTAATTTATATTAACTAAATGATCAATGCTTTGTTTTAATATAGATAAAGTTTGTTTTATATCTAAACTGTGATATTTACCTTACTGTTTTACTGTCCTTTGTCGACAGGTCTTCAATTGTAGAAACTACCTTGTTCTCATCGCGATATGGCTGCAATATTGCCGATGCGATGTAAAATTTTAACTCACTCACTCACTCACTATTTGACAGTATAAGTTTTTTTCTATCTCTCTAATTGGATCTTCATTGATGAAAGACCTAGGATCATCATCAAGGTTTGTTCTCCCAGCCTTAAACATAGCTGCCCATCCTTTAACGGTAACAGATAGTGCACTTATCCCCATACACTTGTGACATGCGGTCATGAGTGAGTGAGTGAGTGAGTTTGGTTTTACGCCACTTTTAGCAATATTCCAGCAATATCACGGCGAGGGACACCATAAATGGCCTCACATATTGTACCCATACATGCGGTCATGAATTTCCTGGGAGTACTTTTCCCTAAAGTAAAAAAAACCTCTACTCTCGATACTCGTTCTTTTTCATTTCTGTGTCCATTTGGACCCCTATCACATTCAACTGGCTGTCACTAATATAAAAACGGCACCAACAGACCAAATACACTTGCAATGAACTACTCAAACAAGGTACTACATCGACTAGTTCACTTTGTTATGTCCCATAATTGTAATTTAGTCAGGCTTATAACTTTTTTACAAGCCCTCGTAACCGCCCAAGATCAATGAACAATTAACAGATCATATTGATACATAGAGAATAGGGTTTTTAATCACAAAAAGGTAATGCTGTTAACGGGTCAAACTTGAGGCAATAACAATAGATATTGCTCCCAACAGCATAAGTTCGCATTGGAACTGGAAACAGTAACCTCATGAACATTCTCGAATGAAGCAGTCTGTCCCGGAAGTGAATCAACGACTATACACAAGCTCCTCACAGCGAAGTTCTTAATAACGATAGGATAACGAAGGTATCAAGCGTGGGGTGAGAGCTTGGGACCACTACAACTAAGGGGGGTCACTCAAGGTATACGAACTGCCGTGGGTCACTTCTAAAGCTGAAGATCATATTTGCCGCCACTAACAATCATCTAAAATAAACTTACAACGCATACTGCCTAATTATACAAGTTGAAGTGAAATTGATGCGCCTGAGGAGTTGAAGTGAAGTGGTGGTGGTTGTTGTGTTAAAGTGAAATTGACGCGCCTGACTAAGTGTAATGGATGCGTCAAGCGTGTGAAGTGAAATGTTTTAAAGTGTAATAGTGGCGTTTGACGTTTCATAGTATGACGGGGCATCGGACGTGTTGAAGTGAAATGGAGGCATCTGGGCATTGTTTCACAAGCCAACGTAGCGATCCTATACTTGAGATTGACTGAGGACGTTCGTAGCACTACGGTCGCTTTGTAAGACGGTGCTCTGGCGTGTTAAAGTGTAATGAAGACGCCTTACATGTACGTTTAAAGTGTACCTCGGTATAAACACGCAGTGGCACAGCTGGGCATGTCTGGTCGTACATATATGTTGGCCCCTAAACGTTATACATCAGATGCAATATATTCACGTTTTGGTAGTTGGTGCTGTAAATGAGGCACTATTTTTACAATTAAACGTTGTGAAGATTAGATCAATGACCTCACTGGAAGCGCGCATGTGATGAGGAGTACCGTACATACTTTCAAGCAGCTGTACAGCAGAACCAAAATGAGTTGTCAGTGTGTCCACCATGCGTTTAAGCTGGTATCCCCTTGTTTTGCATATTCAATGTACAATCATGTTTGCGTGGTGTAAATAGGCATGTACCGTGTCTTATCATAAATACAATTCCAAAACATTCCGAACATATTTCATTTCAGAATAGTATCTATACAACAGAACCATTGTTTCTGGTATCGCCTAAGATACCTAAATTATATGGAATTCAGAGAGGAAACAACTCTAAGTATTGGTTCGCGAGTTTAATCCATTATTTCAAATTGACGCAGTAGGCTACATTGCTTTATCAGACACTTTAGTATGGGGTATCGCATGATTGTAATGCTTGCAGCCTACATCGTTGCTAGACCTCCGTGGTCTAGTGGTTGAGCGTCCGCCCGGAGAACGGAAGGTCTGGGGTTCCGCCCCGGCCGCGTCATACCAAAAGACTTTAAGAGAGGGTACTTGTTGTTACCCTGTCTGGCGCTCGGCATTAAGGGGTTGAAACAAGGACTGGTGGGGGTATTCATGTTAAACTGCGGCATGGTATCTCACTATAAATCGGCATCAGTCCGGAATAGCGCGCACACACAAACACACACACACACACACACACACACACACACACACACACACACACACACACACACGTGCATGTATGTCGCTATATAAGTGCAGTAATCCTGGACGCGACGTTGAACCCCATTTCACCTCACTTACATCGCTGCTGTACATTTCGCTACTTGCCATTCAGTCGTTTATGATGGTAATCCCTAGTTACGTATACACACGTCTGAAATGGTTCTCCATTTTATGTTCCAATCCGAGGCAGCTATCTCGTTATCCGACCAACTTTACTGTATATCCATTTCTCACAGGAGCTTCATGTTGTATGCAGCAACATAGTAATGTCATCTTGTATCATTACGCGTCCAATGAGAGTATACGACACAACCATTCGCGCTGGATAAAAAAGACTATTGAATGAAACAACTTTGTTAGAATCGATTAGTAGGAATCTACTCTTGTAACTCTCGCGATTCATTAAAAAGTGTACAGTGTGGATGCTTTCAATGTGGTTACTGTTATTCATTCCAATACACTGCCTAGTTTCCTTACACCTTGTACACGCCTCACATGGTGTTAAATACATATATTTTCTGTGAATGGCATTATATTACATTTTGTCTCTTAAGGTCAGATGGTACTTAGTTACAATCTGTGTAAAGCACGTATTTGTATTTTAATCTGATCTTGTTCATGTCCCTGCTTGTCGTAATGTGTTCTCAGGGCAACGATTTTCGAAACACAAATACCGATAATCTTCTTCGGGTCAAGATCCTCGAGAAATGCACTATTATCCTTTCAGTGGCTTCGCTAGGACCCATTTCGGAATCTGTTAGCAAACAAATGGCACATGCATCCCTTGTAATTTCATTTTAACGGCATTATCTTAGACTTAATCACATCAAAGAATTGTAAGTTAACGTGACAGCAATGACAGTTACATGTGTCAAGCTAGGTTTCTATATTTGATACCGGTGTATTCGTAGAAATAACGTTTTAGTATTGTGAAATGAAATTCCTCTATGATAACATGAAGAAAACTGTACACATGTGTTAAGGTGAAGGCAAAGTTCTGCAAGATAACTCTCGAACTAATTTTGTCAAGTAAGCAGATAAAGCTGGCTGATAATGTCTACAGGTGTGTTTACCTGTTGGTACAGCAGCTGTAGAGAGACAGCGGAACGAGTGTATGTATGGTCAACATATTGGGGAACACTTTGCCTCACTTTTCAACTGCGTCTTCCACTCGATACATTATGAACAGAAATACACTGAAAGCACACTAGAGAGTTGTCTGTAGGCAATATGCTAAAACGAGAGTTGTGGAATCAGATCGCTTAGCAGAGGTACACACACAACAAAACAAGACCTGAGTGAATAAACAGTCAGTTTGTGCAAACACAACAAGCAATGAGGTAGAATGCAAAAATATTTAATGTACATTATAACAAACACATACATATAATGGTTTTGGCACGAACTTGGGAGCTGACTGATTTTATCACAGAGGAGGGCTGATCGAGAGCTAGGTGCTGTCCTGGAGCCGCTATGAGGCTTGGACGGTGGTCTGCGGACCGGGGCTGCAACCTGAGCTCTGGTGCTAGCTTATTTACAAGGAGAGGGACGACCGAGAGCTAAGCGAGGGTCCTGGGGCCGCTGCGGCGGCTCGGACGGTGGTCTGCGGACCTTTGGTGCTAGCTTATTTACAAGGAGAGGGACGACCGAGAGCTAGGCGAGGGTCCTGGGGCCGCTGCGGCGGCTCGGACGGTGGTCTGCGGACCGGGGCTGCGACCTGAGCTCTGGTTTGGACTTGGGGGAGAAAAGGACACTCTAGATGAGTGGAAATAGCCTGGCCAATGATAGGCCAATCAGTCAGCCCCTGACAATAAAAGGCAAAATTGAAAACTGTACATATTTACAAAGCAGCAGCAAAATGGTACAAAGGTGAGCACCTAAGCCGGTGAAGAGAGGGTGGGCTGGCGGGTATGGCAATTTTGTAGCGAGTGTTGTTGTCCTTCTAGCTTTGGGAGAGGAATGGAGAGACACGGGGCTTATGGGTAAAAAGGGGGCTCCCGTGCGCATGCGCAGAGGGGGAATTTGAAACCTTACGAGGGATAGTTGTAGCGCAACATAAACACGTACATGAGAATAAATTTTTATAATACACTGGACATGCATGTAGAAAACAAAATACGTTGAATTTGCACAAACCACAATATTAAATTATCATTTTGTGCAAACACAACAAGCAATGAGGTAGAATGCAAAAATATTTAATGTACATTATAACAAACACATACATATAATGGTTTTGGCACGAACTTGGGAGCTGACTGATTTTATCACAGAGGAGGGCTGATCGAGAGCTAGGTGCTGTCCTGGAGCCGCTATGAGGCTTGGACGGTGGTCTGCGGACCGGGGCTGCAACCTGAGCTCTGGTGCTAGCTTATTTACAAGGAGAGGGACGACCGAGAGCTAAGCGAGGGTCCTGGGGCCGCTGCGGCGGCTCGGACGGTGGTCTGCGGACCTTTGGTGCTAGCTTATTTACAAGGAGAGCGACGACCGAGAGCTAGGCGAGGGTCCTGGGGCCGCTGTGGCGGCTCGGACGGTGGTCTGCGGACCTTTGGTGCTAGCTTATTTACAAGGAGAGGGACGACCGAGAGCTAGGCGAGGGTCCTGGGGCCGCTGTGGCGGCTCGGACGGTGGTCTGCGGACCTTTGGTGCTAGCTTATTTACAAGGAGAGGGACGACCGAGAGCTAGGCGAGGGTCCTGGGGCCGCTGTGGCGGCTCGGACGGTGGTCTGCGGACCGGGGCTGCGACCTGAGCTCTGGTTTGGACTTGGGGGAGAAAAGGACACTCTAGATGAGTGGAAATAGCCCAAAGCAAGTGATTGGAAGGGTACCCCCTTACAAGAGTGAGTGCCCCCAAGTTGTGCTAGGTGTGGTAAGGAAGGTACATTGTGTGCAACAATATAGAGAGGGATCACAAGATACATCAACATCGTACAAAAGGAATGACCAACACAACCAATTCAACGCAGCTGATCAGAGATGTCCCTGTACTGGGTATTATGGACAAGAAATTAAAGACAACTGAGCATTCTTAATAACGTCCTCTGGGGTCCGAATATAACGTGTAAAACAGTCTGACTGCCACCTGCCCAGTGTTTTTATGAGGTGATCTTCCATACGAACAGTTGCAGCGGAGGTCGCTGCCCCTATGCGAAAAGAGTGTCCAGAGTATTTAGCTGCGTCAAGGTGTGCATGTTTCATGGTCATGTTGAGCCATTGCAGGAACATGGTACGGGATATGGCTTTTCCAACACAGTCAACAAACAGAGGATCACTGTCCCTAGCACCATGTTATAGTCTTACTTGCTTTAAGCGGTTCAAATTGGCAAAAGGGCAAATGGGAGATTGGTTGGCAAACAAGGTAATGACTACGCCCTGTCTAAAAATATCTGTCTTTGAAGCTTTGAGCACGAGAGTACACTTTCCTGTATTATGGTCGATGGTGACATCAGATAGACTTAAATTGGTACTAGCATCGAAGTCACGAGAACATGTGAACTCGGCACATCGTAGAAAACCAAAGAAGGCAGTGGTGCACATGACCTCCATTACCAGATCATTGAGAGGTCCGAGCACCCCTTTGCGTAGTGTACACACAATCTTCTTCAAAACATCGTAGGTTATGGGTAAGCGTTTGGGCACACCCTGTTGTTGTAGCTTCTTGTATCCATGAAGTAGGGTTCGTAGCTGATTTAGACCACCAGTAGACACTGAATCGAACACTGTATGTACACCTGCCTTCAGATAGGTAAACCGAATACCCGCGAGATAGGATTTGACAGTGACATACTGTAGTTTTGCCTCACCGAAACAAAAGGCCACATATTGTTGCAGAAGTGCCAATTAACTGGTGGCAGACCTTGTGCTGCCCGTGTGAGGCTTGAGCATGTAGAGTACAGGCTATATCTCAGGAGAAAGGCAACGTATGACTGAAAGCCAGAAGCATAGGTGGTCTTGGTTCTGGCCGCCACTGCAGCATCCCATAGAGTGTCTAGGTGTCTTGCCAGACCCATATCAACTGTGAGTGTTGTGGACATGGTGTTGCTTGTGGTGCCGCATGTGGAGCAAGTTTCCGAAATCTGGCAATCTGTAACCGAGACAGAGAATCAGCAATTTGGTTTGACACGCCTTGTACATGTTTGGCACATATCACAAAATTGTCATAGGCTGCTAGTGAGGTAACCATACGCATGAGAGGCATAATGTTTTTGCATTTTGATCTGCCCTTGTTGATTATGTTTACTGTTGATTCATTGTCACAATAAAACAAGATTCTTTTCCCTGACCACTGCTTGCCCCATAAAACGGCTGCTACTACAATGGGATACAGTTCAAGTAGCGCCATGGATCGACTGTTGTTTTGGCAATGGGCTTGCATAGATGATGGCCAAGGTGACGAAAACCAAGCACCCAGAAAATAACCTCCAAAACATAAAGTAGATGCGTCGGTATACAGTTCCATGTCAGAAGCCTGTGTCCTGGAAGAGTCGTGAAAGAAAGAAACGCCATTCCACTTCTGTAGAAACACATGCCACATGTGCAGATCAGAACGACATTCAGCAGAAATGTTCACTCTGTGGTGCAGTTTTTTAACAGATTTAGATAGATCAATGAGGTAAGACACAAAGGATCTTCCTGGCACAACCACTTTGCAGGCATAGCACAGATGTCCTATCAGAGACAGTAGTTGGTACACTTTCTCTTGTGACTGAACTCTTGCACTAACTCCGATATTCTAGCCAACTTGACCAGGGGTAGTCGGGCAGTCATGGTATTTGAATCTAAAATGATACCTAGATATTCCATCTCACAGGCTGGTCCAACGGTTTTATGTGGGGACAACGGAATTTTCAACTTGTTGAAAGTGGCTGTTAATGTTTTCATAGTAATAGAAGCTTCGTAGTTGGGTTCATCAATGGTGAGGAAGTCATCCAGCAAGTGTAAAACGAAATGGACCTTGTAATTGTTTGTGAGGATCCAAACAATGGCTTGTGATATGCAATCAAAGATACGAGGGCTAGATCGGCATCCAAACGCTAGGCGCTTGAAGAAGTAATATTGATTGTCCCATCTAAATCCGAACAGTGACCAATAATCTGGGTGAATGGGGATTTGCTTGAAGGCGTCTTTATATCCACCTTACACATACTCGCGCCTCTGCCTACACGGTTCAGTTCCCGTATGGCATCATCGATTGTCACGTAGGTTAAAGAGCACATGTCCTTGTCTATCGTATCATTAATGCTAATAATGTCATCGTTGTCATGTGGGGCTGAAAGGTCCAGGATCAGTCGTTTTTTATGGCTGTATTTTTCTTCAGCGATGCCCAGGGGGCTGACCCGAAACACATGGTAAGGGGGGACTGAAAATGGTCCAATAATGTAGCCCCGATCTAATTCTTGACGGACAAGGTGCGTTACAGTATCGGGTTCTTTCCGGGCGCTCAGATTGTTTTTGCACTCCCAGGTAAAATTGGGCACTGTTGCAACGAGAGGGTGAAAACCGTGTCTCAGTCCATCACACAAGTATGTTACAAAGTTCTGATCAGGGTGACGCCTTAGTTCCTCTTGTATGATGTTGGTATTTAATGGTGTCAATTCCTCAGCAAATTGTCACTTGTTGATTCCATGTCCCTTATTGGAATTAGTGTTGTATTTTTTGCAAACCAATTTGTTGTGATTCTTCCCGAAACAAGTGGAGCAAACATGCAGAAAGTTGCAGCGAATACGCATGCAGCCGCTATCATTGAAATTATTGCAAACCTCCTGTCCCTGGTACCATATTTTTTGTCGACCATGTGAATCGGTGGAGCTGTTTGCAGTGCTTGTGGAGGTTACATTCTTTTTTCCCAAGCTATGTCGTGGGCTGACTTGTTCGCAGGTGTTCGTCAACAGGGATGCACATGTCACGGAGTCATGGCTGATACTACTGCACAGGTCACATGACCTACAGCGAAGGCCAGAAGTATAAGTGGTATAAATTCTGGTGTCCGGAACGCCCCAGGTGATGTGCGTACCCCTCTCAGCCAGTGCTGCCACACGAGATGCGAATCTCTTGTGGTATTCATAATGTACATATCCTCCATATAAAGTGTGGAGTTCCGCTACTGTACGTTCATGTTGTTCCAATTACTCTCTCCTTATTGGCCAAGCTTCACAGAAGATATCCTTGAATACTTTGAAGGCTCTGCTGAATTCGGCAAAGTTCAAATTCCTGGTGGTACGTGGGTCAAGTTTTAACACGTTTTTGCATGAACCTGTCTCTTCAGCAAGTCTATATTCCCCGGATTCTTGGCATGGTAACAACAGAGAAGCCAAATTAATATATTTACCTTGGTGAATTTTACGCCTTGTACTTTCGTCAACAAAGTTGACATGGGGCACGGAATCTGACAGAACACATTGCGTTGGATTTGTCTGTGATGTAGGCCAGGCTATGTTTTCTCCACTGGGAGCTCCAGAGGATAGACGTTGGGTGAGGGATGTCATCATGTCCCTCATTTCCCGCATGACTCCCACCAATTCCACATTTGCTGACGATAACTGGTTGCTTGCTGTTGTCACTGTTGCCGGAATGCTAGTAGAGCTGTCAGAATTACCGCTGTTTACATACTGGGGAGTAACGTCACAGGAAGGAACAGCATGTACAGACGACAATGCGGAAACGGGGGAGGAATGTTGAACAGCGCTGGCCCCTCCACTGACCGTGTGGTTCTCGTTAAAGTTTTCCTTGTACAGTTGTAGGATCGTCTTTCTTCCCCACGATGCAGGCACTGTGATACCTAAGGAGCGCAGCCTCTGTCTCAGGTCAACTGTTGTCTCGTAAGGGACGGCTCTGCCTGTCGCACTCGCTCTGACCTGTGACCCAACATGGCGACTGTTGTCGGAAGTTCCACTTGTTGCGGATGAAACATTTTCGACAGGAACAGCTGCCCTGGTTCTCCTTGACGTCCGTTTCGGTGCCATTGTCGGTGTTTTAGGTACCTTGCTGACATGCAGGAGGTGGTCTGTGCAAGCGGCAGTTGATCACAATAAAGGTATTATGGCAATTTTGTAGCGAGTGTTGTTGTCCTTCTAGCTTTGGGAGAGGAATGGAGAGACACGGGGCTTATGGGTAAAAAGGGGGCTCCCGTGCGCATGCGCAGAGGGGGAATTTGAAACCTTACGAGGGATAGTTGTAGCGCAACATAAACACGTACATGAGAATAATTTTTTATAATACACTGGACATGCATGTAGAAAACAAAATACGTTGAATTTGCACAAACCACAATATTAAATTATCATTTTATTAGACAGCCACAGATTGTTATATATAATCAGTCAACAGTTGAAACGGTCATGCGAGTTTGTATATCTGAGATATTCCCATTGCACTAATTATGTGTATAGATTATGCTAATTCTGTTAACTGTATTACGTTGTTTGCCTTTTGGAATATGTATTGTGACTAAAGTTGTGCATGTCTTGTGTAATGATTCCATATCATGTTCATCTAATGTTCTTCTATAACTGTACCTCTATAACTGTTTGGCGTAATCTGTGCACAGAAGTAGCACAATGGGAATATCTTTTATATACACACAAGTATGACCATTTCAGTTACCAATGAAACTTGCAGATATTGCCAAGGGTAATAGCATACAGTTAAGAATTATATGGCTTTCTAATGAACTAACTCTTTATTCACTCAGGTTTTGCGTTGTTGTGTCGGTTGGTCGTGTATAGTGGTACCTCTGCCAAACGATTCCCCAACACTCTTTTAAACAAATACAACTGTTGTATTATTGAGAAATGTTTTGGTAATCTCACTTCTATAAGACTATGTTTGGCTTTTCATTTCAATACCAATATTAAACATTACATCGTCATGAAGAAAACGACAAAGAAACTAGTAGAGCGAGTGTCGTTGTAAACCATGGTCTATATTATGTAATACCGACGGTATATATCGGGGATATCAGTATGTCACGTTATTTTATCTGGGTGGAGAGACATCATTGACTATATGTTAAGACTGGCGTTACCTGTAAGTGTGTATGCTACCCTAGTTTTCAAAACGTCACGATTAAGGGGATATTGGCGTCTGACATGTTAAAGTGTAATGGAGGCGCCAAGCGTGTTAAGTGAAATGGCCCCATTTGAGGTTTGAAAGTGTAGTAGTGCTGTCTGATGTTTCATAGTATGACGGAGGCATCGGACGTGTTGAAGTGAAATGGAGGCATCTGGGCATTGTTTCACAAGCCAACGTAGCGATCCCATACTTGAAATTGACTGAGGACCTTCGTAGCACTACGGTCGCTACGGGCTAGTTAAAGTGTAATGGATGCGTCTGGCGTGTTAAAATGTAATGAAGACGCCTGACGTGTAAAGTGTACCTCGATAAAAACATGCAGTGGGACAGCCAGGCATGTCTGGTCTTACATATATGATGGCCTCTGAACGTTTATACACTGTAAATGTACATACATCAGATGCCATATATTCATGTTTTGGTAGTTGGTGCTGTAAATGAGGTACTAGATTTACAATTTACATTTGTCGGTAAATATAGCCTCTAAATATCTGTATAAAGTGTCTAACACGATGTAGTTAAAACAATTCGTATGACATAAACATTGTGATGGTAAGATCGATGCGTAGGTGATGACATGGAGGAGTAGCGTACATAGTCTCAAGTAGTTTTAGGACAGTTGTTCATTTATCAGCTGTACAGGTGAACTACCAAGATATATAAAAAAGCACATGAATACATTTGATAAGTACTTCTTCATAGTTGTGGAAGGGCAGATGCTGATCATGACATACCAAGTCACTACGTCACATGTCCCCCGACTTTGCGTTACTTTATTGTTATTGATTCATAAACAATCAAGAATCGTTGTTGACATGTACACATTCCCGGCAGGCAAAAATGACACACACCCATGGGATATGTAGAAACCTTGATAAATTACATGAATAATAATTGCATCCTAGCTAACAGTTCATAATAAAGTTGGGCCCAGTGCCACAACTTATAGTTTTCACTTTCCTTTAATGATAACGTCTCCTCTTAGGGAGATAACTCAGGATACATTTACAATCGTGTGCCTGACACTGATAATTCAAATTTCGTGGAGTAAAACATCCGAAACTGAAAAAACTACAATTTCGTAAGCACTTTGGCGGAACGTTGATTTTAGCAGGGAGTTAAGTAGTTTATAAAAGTCTATCTAAATATTTAGAGTCTTGTCAAAACAAACAAGATAATAACAGCTGGCCTATTATTAGCATGGAATCGATGATTGATATCGCTGAAAGATTTCCGACAGCTGAGTAAAACAACAAACAATTACACGTGAAATAAAATTCTCAAATTCAGCCTATACAATTCGTTGATAGCGTCATGTTCTAACACACAAAGCAAGACACTCTGTGTCAATATAGATAAAAAATCATACCAAAATCTACATTAAATATGGAAACAACAATATATTTTCTTAGTAAACCATAGCTGATTCCTCAAACTCAAAACGCATTTCTTTCCACTCAAGAATGTTTATGAATTCAAAAGCATATGTTGAAATCATTGTTTTTGTTCTTTATCAAGGGATTATGTCTTCATTGCAATGCATAGAATTGGTCTCATCTACTTTTAAACGTTGTCTGTGATGTTAAAAGCAAATGAAAACGAAGAAAATTGGCAATTTTAACGCCAACTTAACATCTCAGGTCTGTCAATTAATGTGTCAACACTAAATCTTCTTGGCCATGTGACACATGCCTCTTTTGGTGGTGCTCTAACACACATGACAGTAGGCAATGATTATCGTGTTTCAAGAAGGTGACTTTGGGCGGAGATGTGTTATCTCTCCTGAATGTTTGATTCAGGAACAGATGTTCGGAATTTGGAAATGAGTCAGGCGAATGAGGCGATCCGACATAAGTGGAACTCAGAAGAATATTATGATGTCAGGTTGTCCACATATGGCAATGCTTCTGAATAGGGATAGGGATTGCAGACAGATAACACGAATGCAGCAGTTCAGGCGCGGGACATATTCTGATTTCGGGGTGGAAGGTATCAATAGTATATGGCCGATCATGTTGTCCAATTTCTTTGAGAGAGTTTGACTGTTGTTGAAATATTGAGGAATGTGCGTATATATACTAGTATAAGCATAGTAGACTTTTTTCGCTAGTTGAGTCACTTAATATGTATATGCTTCACGAGCTGAGATTAACTACACAAGACTGCGTTAGTATGTACTGTTGATTACCTGTCCCTGAGGAAAATAACAAGAATTCACAAATTCCTTCATATAGTATCCATTGTCATATGTTATACAAATAAAAAGAGAGAAGTGTTCCAGGTCGCGGCCACATGAAGAAACATCGATGCTCCCAATCAAACTACTTCTTATTGTTATGATCATATTGCACTGGTTTGAGACCCCGTTGCCAGAGCCACTTTGCATACAATAAAAACAAATCCAGCAATATACGCGCATGACATCCAATCTGCGCGAAGCAAAGGTGAAACTTCTTTGTGAGATTTGCCGAAAGCAATTACCCGCACAGCCGTACGACTTATAAGCCGTCTTGTACCACTCCAAAGAAAACAATTCATTTGAATATCAGGGTGAATATAAAATCGATGAACAGAGGTATCTGAGCAATAGTGTGTGTAATGCATGTTAGAATGTGTTACTTTACATCAGTGTCCCAGCTGGTAAACAGTTGGATTAAACACATGTCTTGTTCAGAAACGCAATCACAAAATAAGCATAATGGCATATGAAACACGTCATCAACGTCATATGCTGATAACAAAGTAGTGTGACACTTAAAATCTTTGAAGTTTCTCGTGTGCCTTGCACGAACGCATACAGTATTGAACCTTCTATGGTCCTAACGTCATTGACTTTCTTCTCCAATTTCCCAACAGAGAATCATCGGCGCCAGACTGACGAAGGATTAGTTTCATCAAAGAAACGTTGCACTGTCTACATATGTAGCCATGGAGTTACCTTACTTCGTCTTACATTTTGGCTTAAACAGTTACGGCTTCAGAAACTCTATACCGGTGTTTGCCATTCAGTGCCATGCTGACTGCACTCGGAAATGCAGCCAACAGCTAATATCACATATAGTGCTCACTTGGAGGATTGTAACCACACTTTCAAATCTAACCATTTTTATGATAAACGTTGTTTTGTCCATTCTTAAATTTAACTACAAGAAAGGTCAATGAACTATTTGCACGCAGGATGTGTTATGTGATAAATCACCTTCCTGTACAGAATTTGAAGGAATGTCTTACTCTAAACGGATTTACCTGTTCACTAGATATAAATGTTAAACCTACCCCAATATCACCATAACACAATACTAAAACGATAAGAAATATACTGAACCAAATTAAAAACTTCACAATCCTAAAATTTTAACATTTTGACCAGTTATCATTGTGGGCCCTTATTGTGTATTTACACAGTAATGGCCACGTATTGTCTTCAGATAACACCCGTTTTTGTGCAGGTAAATCGATCAAAATCATATGCACAGCACTATAGTGGCAAAATTGGTTTTTCACGTGCAACTGGTCACGTGGCTATAATACCGCACGTGGTTTCAGCCATACTTGTTAGCAGTCATTAACAAAAAAAGAAAACCACAAGAAAACAAAAGTCTTTACGGCCATTTGTCATGCCACGCCTTTCAAATGTGCAACGTAAACGTGCCATCGGCATGTTGCAGACGGGAACGTCCGTAGCTGAAGTCGCAAGGACGATGGGTTGTAGTCGACGGACTGTTAATGATTTACAGACGCGTCTACAGCAAACGGGCACCACCGCTGATCGCCCTCGGCCAGGTCGACCAGGTGTGACGTCACATGCAGAGGATCGTCAGATTGTCTTACGTCACCTCCGTAACCGATTTTTGACGGCTAACTCAACCAGAAATGAACAGTTTAGGGGTAGACTGAGAGCGCAAACTGTTCGAAACCGTCTGAGAACTGCTCACCTTCAATCACGACGGCCATACTGCGGGCCGATTCTGACTCACTTACACAGACGTCAACGTCAATTGTGGGCACAGCGACACTTACGATGCGCTCAGAGGAATTGGAATCAAGTCGTCTTCAGTGATGAATCCCGATTTAATCTTTGATTTGCTGATGGTAGGGCGAGGGTGTGGAGGCGCCGTCATGAACGTT